TGGTGGCTCGGTGGTGGCCGAGCCACCTTGGTGGCCGCCGAGCCACCAAGGAGGTGGCTCGGCCTCCGAGCCACCATTTGGTGGCTCGGAGGTGGCCGAGCCACCCCAAGGTGGCTCGGCCACCGAGCCACCTAGGTGGCTCGGCCGAGCCACCACTTGGTGGCTCGGCCACCGAGCCTCCTTGTTGGCTCGGTGAGCCGACCTCCAGGTGTTTGTCGTTTTGCCTCTTTGTGCCCGTTTTCCGGTTCTGCGGTTGATTGGTTCGGATTCGATTTGTTGACCTGATTTGGCAGTAAATCTGGATCCCGATTAGGCAGTAAATCCACTTCTGAGTTAGAGTCCGAAACCGATCTTGATTCGATCGTCATTCGTCCGAGTATGCTGGATGACTCGTTGACTCTTCGAACACTTGGCTCGATCCCGCACGCGGGTGGATTCATTCCGTCGCTTGATGCGATTCGTCGATCTCGTCGCCTCGTTGGTTTGTCGGTTCGTGCCGAGCTGAGCTAAGGGACCTATAAGCAATTTTATATGCCTACAGCAACCAAAATGTCATCGACATATAAAGCCAGGAAAACATACTTGTTCCCACAGAACCTTTGGTATACACAATCATCAACCAAATTCAACTCAAAACCGAACAAGATGATCACTTGATGAAACTTGAAATACCATTGTCGAGATGCTTGCTTGAGCCCATAGATGGATTTCTTAAGTTTGCAAACCATATTCTTTGGGTCTCTGGAAACAAAGTTATCTGGTTACACTATATAAATTGTTTCATCAATGTCACCATTTAAAAACATTGTCTTTGCATCTATCTGATGTAACTCAAGATCGAAATGCACTACCAATGCCATTATAGTCCTGAAAGAGTCTTTCGAAGAAACCGGAGAGAAAGTCTCTTTATAATCGATGCCTTCTTTCTGTGTAAATCTCTTTGTGACAAGACGAGCCTTATATATTTCCACATTGCCTCTTGAATCCCTCTTGGTCTTAAATATTCATTTGCAACCAATGGGTTTCACACCTTCTGGCAATGAGACAAGATCTCATACGTCATTGTCCTTCATGGATTTAATCTCCTCATGCATAGCATCAATCTACTTTTGAGAATTAAAACTTTCTATTTCTTGACGGAAGGTGATCAGATCATCTTCCATCGCCCCAATGTTAGGCTCATGTTCTTGAAGAAATACAATGTAATCATCTGGCACTGCACTTCTTCTTTCTCTAGTGGATCTTCTTAATGACATAGGTTCTTGAGGTGGTTGAGTTTATTCTTCAAGAATAGTTATCTGAGCGGGAGATTCTCCAACATTATCTTGACCTATTGTGTCTTGATCTTGATCAGGAATGGAAACCTGGTCAAGACCAATAACACCTGTGGGAATATCAACATATTCCTCTTCAAAGACAATATTTCTAACTGTATCTCCCTCCGTAAACTCAACATCCTCAAAGAACTGTGCATTTCCTGACTCGAAAATCGATTTCTTTGTGGGATCATAAAATTTGTACCCCCTGGATCTTTCAGAGTATCCAACAAAATAACAACTCATCGTCCTTGAGTCTAGTTTCTTTTCATTAGGCCTGTAAGGCCTTGCCTCAGCTGGACATCCCCAAACATGCAAATGCTTCAAAATAGGCTTCTTGCTTGTCCAAAGCTCATAAGGGGTCTTGGTAGTTTCTTTAGTTGGAACCCTGTTAAGGACATAAGCTACAGTCTTAAGTGCTTCTCCTCAGAGTTATTCTGATAAGGTGGAATGACTAATCATACTCCTTACAATATCCTTAAGCGTTTTGTTTCGTCTTTCAGAAACACCATTCAAAGTGGGCGAACCCGGCATGGTGTACTGTAGGATGATACTGCATTCCTCTAGGAATTTAGCAAATGGTCATGGACGTTATTCTCCTAAACCATTATATCTACTGTAGTATTCACCACCACGGACAGATCTGATGTTTTTAATCCTTTTACTGAGTTGGTTCTCAACTTCACCTTTATACTTTTTGAATACATCCAGTGACTGTGACTTTTCATGAATGAGATATAAGTAGCCATATCTAGAAAGATCATCTATGATTGTTATAAAATATTGTTGACCATTCCATGCAACCGTAGGGAATGGCCCACAAATATCTGTATGTATAAGTTCTAAGACGTCCAAAGTCCTGTTGGCTTCAAATCTCCTTTTATTGGTTTGTTTACCCTTTATATAGTCAACAAACATCAAAATCTATAAAATCTAAGGGGTCGAGAATTTCATTTCACACAAGTCTCTCTAATCTCTGCTTTGAGATATGTCCTAATCTCTTGTACCATAACACAGCTAAATTCTCATTGGTTAATTTTCTCTTCAAACCTTGTGTACTTAATTGCAGGGATTCGTTAATTGAGGCAACTGTATCAAGCAAATAAAGATTATCGTAACCAGATAAAGAATCGGAACCAACCAATTTTAAATCATGAAACAAACTAAATTTTCCATTTCCAAATGAACAAGCATAAACAGATTTGTCCAAAACAGAAATAGAAACTAAATTCTGCCTAAATGACGGTACAATAAATGTTTCATTAATATCCAAATAGCATCCAGTCTTTAACAATAATCTAAATTTTCCTATTACCTCAACTTGAGCCATCTTTCCATCGCCCACATAGATGTATCTTTCAACATTATTTGGTTTTCGGCAACTCTGACAATCTTGCATTGAAACACTAATGTGAGTTGTTGCACCAGAATCTATCCACCACGTGTGTCTAGGTATCAAAGTTAAATTATCCTCAAAACAAACCAAATTAATAAGCATACCTTTCTTAGTACGCTAGGCGAAATAATTAGTGCATTGCTTCTTTATATGCCCTTCAGCCCCACAGAAGAAACAACCTTTGCCTTCAGGATCATTTGATCTCTTTTGTTTCTTTTGTGGCACTGTCTTTGTAGCTTTCTTATCCTTAAAGGTTGAAGCCAAATGAACGCTTTCCTCTTCCTGAACACAGTGTGATATGAGCTCATTCAGAGACCAAGTCTCTTTCTGGCAGTTGTAGCTCACTTTAAACTGGTTAAACTGTGTTAGAAGAGATATCAAAACCAAATGCACCGATAGGTCCTCAGAGAGTTCAAGTTTGAGTGCTTTCAACTTTGAAGCAAGATGAGACATCTCTAGGATGTACTCCCTGATGTTACCTTTACCTTTAAACTTCATTGAAATGAGATTTGTCAAGAGCGTACCAATTTCAGCCTTTTCATTCTTGACAAATTTCTTTTCAATATCTGTAAGGAAATCTTTACCTGTAGTGATCTAATCGGACATTGTGCCCCTGAATGTTTCTAGAACAGCCTTCTTCATGATCATCATTCACATGCGATTTGATCTCTCCCACTTTTCCATCTCCCTCTTTTCATCAAAGGTACTCTTATCTATAAGTGATGGAGGAGAATCAGTCCTTAACGCAAGGCCGAGATCCATGACCCTGAGAACTATCAAAAGATTCTTGTGCCATGACTTGAAGTTGGAACCATTTAGCATAGGAATAAAATTGATATTGATAGTAATATTAGCAGGAATCATAGCTGAACAGAGAACAAACAAACAAATAAAACAGGCTCACATTAGTTTTAAAAACCATAAAATTACAACAATTATTTCAAATAAAGGTAAATCCCATCTCAAGATACCGGGCACTACATTAATATTTTATCTTTGCACAAAATATTAGTTAGTAAGTGGTGTCTTGTTGTAGTAATCAAACACTAATAATAATAATATGTCAAATAATAGATCTTCCTTTGGGCCGATTTATTATTCACATATATACCCAATAATCATCACGTGTTTATTACCACTGGTGCAAATAAAATTATTTAAACAACAATCTTCATTTGGACCGATTAATATTTAAATGAATTACACACACACACATAACCTTTTATATTTTAAAATTAATTAATCTCCACAATAGAGGTCACTTTTGCGACGTATCGTTTCAATCAATTAATTTCAAAATGCATATTTTATTTATTTGAATTTAAAATTGTACCCAAAATTCTAACAAAAGGAGCATCCAAAATTGAACTAAAAACTAAATTGAAATTGAGTAATATTTAAATGAATTACACACACACACATAACCTTTTATATTTTAAAATTAATTAATCTCCACAATAGAGGTCACTTTTGCGACGTATCGTTTCAATCAATTAATTTCAAAATGCATATTTTATTTATTTGAATTTAAAATTGTACCCAAAATTCTAACAAAAGGAGCATCCAAAATTGAACTAAAAACTAAATTGAAATTGAG